CCTTTCAAGATGGATAATAGTAGCTAGCATTTATCAAGTCACCCTACACACCATGCTTTTTTCTAAATTCTTGACATATATTAACTCAATCCTATGACAATTCAATGAGGTAGATACTTTCACTCCTCACAATCCCCTTATTGGCACTTAAGAGCATGGCTCTCTTGGGGGTTGTGGAACAGATCCTACTCCAGTCAGCAATTCCAGTGACTCCCACACTGAGAAGTTGCTCAACAAATGTCTGCAATAAGTGAATGACACAGTATTTTTTTCTCCTGGTTCAAAATTCAAACTTCAAGAACATATAATCATATAATGAGGGCTGAGGATGGCTCAAATGGTACACCACCGGAGTTCAAACCCCAGTACCACAAAAAAAAAAAAAAAAAAGAACTGATTAATGCAAAGGTTGGCTTAATATGCGTATTTGCTGCATTTCAAATGTGAGATAAGCAAATTCCTGTATGCATCAGATTATACCATGTATTAGAAAATATGTTAACTAACTCCTTTGATCATAAATTAGGGGCAAAAGGCTACTTTCAGGACGGCTCCAATAATAAATCTAATCTATGTTTAAATGCAGCTTAGTCAAGAAAATTAACACATCAACCTATAAGACCACTTACATCTTTTGTCTAGTTATTCTGTAACTTTACTTAACAGCAAATATTAGACACAATACAGAAAAGTTTAAAATGTCATTTAAATCTCAGAATAAGTTCATGACCCTGAAAAAGCAAATTGGGAAACAGTTGATGGATACTCAGGATACAGCTCAGGATACAGCTCGGTGGTAGGGCGCTTGCCTAACATGAACAAGGACCTGGGTTCAATCTCTAGCACTGCTAGGAAGAAAATGAAGACTAATTCCTTGAAGTCTAAAGCATTGATGCAAATCAATTTATTTAGCAAGCAAATAATATAGGTTTGCGCTTGCAAGGCAGGCACACTACTGCTTTAGCCACATCTCCAGCCCAAATTACCCAGATTTCAAAAGACAATTTCTAGAAACTTAACCCAGCATTCATTTCTACTCACATTGTTGTCAGTCTTTCAGCTAAGATCAAAGATAGCATTTCTACTCTTATACCCCACCATCAGCAGTTACAAGTCATATTTCACTGCCTTTTACATATTTCTTCTCTAGAGGGAGACTTAAGCCTCATACCAACAGCCCTCTGATGGCCAGGCCTACCTCCAACAGTAGTCAGCCCTGCTCCAACAGTGTGTCTCCTTCCCTACAGTCAAATCCCATCTGCAAACCAACAGGCTCATATTTATAAAATAAACTGAAGGGAATATTATCTTATTTTCTGAAAGAATAATCTTCCCATCAGATTGGCAAAAGTTTGGCAATACTACGTGCTGATGAAGATTCAGAACTGTGGGAACTCTCATACATTGCTAGTGTGTTAAATTACAATAGGCTGAGCATCTCTAATTCAATTATTCCAAATCCAGGGCTGAGAGTGTGGCTCGTGGTAAAATGCTTGCCTTGAAAGTATGAGGCCTTGAGTTCAAACTCTAGTACCAAAAAGAAAAAAAAGAAAAAGAAATCCAAAATGCCCAGAAGTTGGAAATTTGTGTCCACAAAGTTTCACATTTTTGCAAAAGGAATGTTCAGATGGTAAAGTTTATGTAAATACTCCAAAATCTAAAAAAGTACAAAATGAAGCCAGCCCAGGCAAATAGTTCACGAGACCCTATCTAGAAAACACCCATCACAAAAAAGGGCTGGTGGAGCGGCTGAAGGTGTAGGCCCTAAGTTCAAACCCCAGTACCCCAAAAAAATTTTAAAAATAAATAAAAAACTCCAAAATCTGAAATACTCTGGCCCAAACACTTCCAACAAGGGATTCTCAACCTGCACAATCACTTTGGAGAACAATTTGGCAGTGTAGTAAAGTTGAAGATACATTCCACAATTCTATTCCAAGGTATGTTTCCTATACCAGGATATAAACATAAGAATACTATTTACTATTAGTGGAAGTGTAAAATGGTATAGCAGCTATGGAAAACAGCATAGTAGCTCCTCAAAAAATTTTTAAAAAGAGCCAGGCACCAGCGACTTACACCTGTAATCCTACCTACTTGGGAGGCAGAGATCAGGAGGACTGAGGTTCAGAGCCAATCTGAGCAAATAGTTTTTGAGACTCTATTTCAAAAATATCCAACAAGAAAAAGGGCTGGTGGAGTGGCTCAAATGGTAGAGCATCTGCCTAGCAAGTGTGAGGCCTGGAGTTCAAACCCCAGGACTGCCAAAAAAATAAATAGGAATTTTTAAAACTAAAGCAAATTGGTGGTTATATGGTGTTATATTACTTCTACATTTCATGTATTAAGTAATAGTTTATAACAAAAACACTTTAGATATTTAAAAAATTTTTATTACCGTAAGTTAATTGTACAAAGGGGTTTCATTATGATACATGTATATATAATAAACATATATCCTGTCTATGTTACTCGTTTCTTGTTTTTTAAGCTTTAGCAGTCTTCCTCCTCTCCCCCTTAAATAGCTTTTCCTTCGGCTTTGGTGGCACTGGGGTTTGAAATCAGGGCCTCATGCATGCTAGGCAGGCACGCTACTATCTGACCCATTCCACCTGCCAAAAAGTAGCTATTTTTATTTTATTACAATACTGGGGATAGAACCCAGGGCCTTGTACATGCAAGGTAAGTGCTCTACCATGGAGCCCAAGTAGCTATTTTTGTTTTTTCTTTTGGTGGGTCTGAGGTTTGAACTTAGGGCTTCATGCTTGCGAAGCTCGCACTCTACCACTTGTTCTTAGCCGAGGCTGGCATCTAACTCCAGATACTCCTGCCTCAGCCTCTGGAGTACTGGGATTACAGGTATGTATCACCATACCCAACTCAAGCAGCTATGTTTAAATGGACACATTTAAGTAACTTTGAAGTCCAAAATGAAGACAGTATAGAATTTTGCTGTGTTCACTTGGGCATTCTATACTTACAATAAATTAGGACTAAGTTTCATAACTGTGTGAAGTATAAAGGAAATGACAAGCCACAAACTAACACCATACTTTATCAACGATGTCAAGAAAACAATTGTTAATTTTTAATTGAACCACTGTTTTCTCACAAATTTTTATTAAGGGACAGCTAGCCAAATAAAATCACAATCTCAGAATCATGTTTTTTTTTTTAGTTGAAAAAAAGAAAACTGCAATTTTTTTCATTGAACAAACATTTGTTGAGCACAATGCCAAGTACTGTGCTAGGTGAGTGAATTTCTGATTTTAGGTTATCATTCGATTCGTTAATTTCCTTACAAATTATCTTTTATGATTACCAGAAACTGTATTTTACTAAAAATTTTGTTTATAAACAGATCAGAAACAATTCATCTTGGGCTGGGGATGTGGCTGAAGTGGTAGAACACCCGTCTATAAAGCTGCAAGGCCTTGAGTTCAAATTTCAGTACCACCACCAAAAAAAAAGAAAATTCATTTTGTTTACTGTACAAAAACAGTACATGCCTTCCTTCTGAAAACATTTGCTGTGTTGAGATCACCAAATGGCCTACTTTGGGAAACAATCCAGGAAGCACCATGACCAACCTCGTCTGCTGGGACGCCCTGTGCAGTCACCGTCAAGTCTTGAGGGCTGCATTCCGCTCAACCCGTCCGTGGACGTGCGTGACTCCAGACGCGGGGCTGCTAGGGGACACAATTTCCCACCACACTCCATAAAACAGGCCTTTACGAATTACCCCCGAGACACTGGAATTCACGTCCAAGATTATTTAACTCTCCATCTGCTCCTCAAATCGGGAGACAGTAGAATCTTGACTTCAAGCTACCTGGCTGTGAATTCATCCAGTGACGCACTCTCCGTACCCGTAAAAAATTCTTCTTCCAGAGCTGGGGATGGAGCCAGGGTATCTAGGCAGTTCACAGAGCATGTTCTTAAATTTATTCTAGCGACCTTTCCGAAGTGAAGTTTACCTCATTCGCGTTAATATATAAATTTCTAGACTGTCTTACTTTCGAAGGTGGGCGCCACATTTTCATGTTTGTTTACACCCCACCCAGGACGCCGCCACATTTCTCCCTTTCCCTGCCGCAGGGTGGAGAAAGTCCCGGGACGAGGTCTCTGCGGCATGGCGGGCGACCTTGAGTCCAAGCCTCTCCTCCAAGGGTCCCCGTTCCAAATCTACATTTACAGACTGCCCTCGGCTGTTAAGACAGCGGAGTTAGACAAAGCACCTAAAAGCATTTTGCTTACAGAGTCGTGACTACGCCTCCACACTGCAGCAACCAGGAGCAGAAATAAGAACCCGCCAGCATGAGGGGCGCGCATTTTTTCAGACAGGGGTGGGGGCTGGGGAAAGCGCTTTACAGCAGACACCGGGAAGAAACAGCTGCGGGTTGTACCGCCACGATACCCAGCACCCAGTCCAACCGGGGGACTCCGCCCCCTGCCCGGGAAAATGGCAGTCGCACCCACCACTTTCTCGCCTAAACACAGAAAACGCGGGAAGTGGGGGACGTTGGAGGCGGGACCGAAAGCCCACCCCCCTCCTCCACCTCCGACAGGAAATGCCAGTCTTCAGGGAACGCGCGCCTTTGTGGCGCAGGCGCAGTTACTTAGCAACGTCCGCACAGCCGGGAGCCCAGCAACAATCGAGCCAAGGCGGGGCTCACCAATCAGAGCCGGCCTCGCCCTCGCTGGCTTCACCAATCAGCGACGGTATCTCAAGGAAGTTTCCAGAGCTTTCGAGGAAGGTCCCTTTAACTTGGATTCATCCGCCAGGTAACTTTTCCATCTTTTCGTAAAAGAGAAGATAGAGCGCCTGGAATAAAAGGGAGCTAATTTGTTAGTATCTTTTATTTCGGATTGGCGGAATCTGGGGCTCAGTTGAAAACCCTAATTGCGCCGCGGGAAGGGAGGCTGAGGGAACTACTTTTGGTGGCGCATAGAGACGGCGGCTACGTAGAGGTGATAAGACACACCAGACGTTGCATAAATATGGGCTCCGTTTAGGCCGTGTATTTAGAGAGGATTGGCATTGTTGGGAGTTGTCGTGCCGGTGGCTCCGTGTGATTGGCGATTCGCGGCCTCTTCATATTCTGTAACAGGTACTGACCTGTAGCGTTGGAGACCTGGGAGGTCTTGAGAGAGGGGGCTTAAATGAGGTCAAGCTGGCGGTTTCTCGGGGCTGGGTGTGTCCCGAGGTGGGGGAGGGGAGGGCGAGTGACGTGACGCTGCACGGGGCCTCCGCGCAAGAGTGGGCCTTGTTTGCGTGCGGGGAGTGGGGGCGGCCGGCGCGCCGGAGACCAACGGACGCCTAACCGATGGAGATTCCATCGCGCTTGCTTGAGAGGGGGAAGAAGGAAAAGAGGTAGTCTTTTTATCCTAGCCGTGTTCCATCTCAGTTTAATGAAAATTTTCCTGGACCTTACTGTTTTCAGTTTGCCTCTAGGCTGAGGTTTGGTAAAATTACAGCGTGTGGTGGGGATAACCCGAAAAGTAGGGAAGAAAGCTTCGGACCCTAGTTTAGAAGGCACTTCTTTTGTTTTAATCATTTGGAGTCCTTGACTAAACATTTTTGTGTTTAGTGACTCAGTGAGAATCGGGGGAAATTGGTGAGATGCTAATGATATTCGACATTTCCATTTAAAAATACAGGTCAAAATGCAGATCTTCGTGAAGACCCTGACCGGCAAGACCATCACCCTGGAAGTGGAGCCCAGTGACACCATCGAGAATGTGAAAGCCAAGATCCAGGATAAAGAAGGCATTCCCCCTGACCAGCAGAGGCTCATCTTTGCAGGCAAGCAGCTGGAAGATGGCCGCACCCTTTCTGACTACAACATCCAGAAAGAGTCCACCCTCCACCTGGTCCTCCGTCTGAGGGGCGGCATGCAGATCTTCGTGAAGACCCTGACCGGCAAGACCATCACCCTGGAAGTGGAGCCCAGTGACACCATCGAGAATGTGAAAGCCAAGATCCAGGATAAAGAAGGCATTCCCCCTGACCAGCAGAGGCTCATCTTTGCAGGCAAGCAGCTGGAAGATGGCCGCACCCTTTCTGACTACAACATCCAGAAAGAATCCACCCTCCACCTGGTCCTCCGTCTGAGGGGCGGCATGCAGATCTTCGTGAAGACCCTGACCGGCAAGACCATCACCCTGGAAGTGGAGCCCAGTGACACCATCGAGAATGTGAAAGCCAAGATCCAGGATAAAGAAGGCATTCCCCCTGACCAGCAGAGGCTCATCTTTGCAGGCAAGCAGCTGGAAGATGGCCGCACCCTTTCTGACTACAACATCCAGAAAGAGTCCACCCTCCACCTGGTCCTCCGTCTGAGGGCGGCATGCAGATCTTCGTGAAGACCCTGACCGGCAAGACCATCACCCTGGAAGTGGAGCCCAGTGACACCATCGAGAATGTGAAAGCCAAGATCCAGGATAAAGAAGGCATTCCCCCTGACCAGCAGAGGCTCATCTTTGCAGGCAAGCAGCTGGAAGATGGCCGCACCCTTTCTGACTACAACATCCAGAAAGAATCCACCCTCCACCTGGTCCTCCGTCTGAGGGGTGGCTGTTAATTCTAGTCTTCATTCCCAGTGCCCAGTGATGCTATTACTCTGCTCTATAGCTATTTGCCCAATTTAAGTTTAGAAATTACCAGTTCCAGTAGTAATAGCTGAGCCTGTTCAAAATGTTAATAAAGGTTTTGTTGCATGGTAGCATATTTGCTGTCTCTGTCAAAAGTTTTTGTGGTGTGGGAACCTCTTCAACAGGTTAAAAGGGTGTTGGTGCAGGATTTAACTTTGAGATTGGTGTTGTGATCAAAATTAAGTCACTTGTGGTGAGTGAGATGTGTGTGCTTTGTTCATTATCAGTGAATAGCAAAGCATTGAAAGTGTAAGCAATTTAAAATATAACCAGAAAACTCTCTTTTCCTAGTTACTTTGGGGGAAATCAAACATACCTGCCTAAACCCTTAAGTCTTCTAGAGAAAAATTGTTTTGGTTGAGCTTTAAATGATAGTTAAGTATTGGAAAGATAAGATTATTCAGTACTTGGCAGAAATGTCTATTGTCTAAGTCTCACACAAAACAGTTCACAATATCAGTACTATGCAGCAGATTTATAGATTTATAATAGTGTTTACATATCCATTCTTTGGATGTTTCATGGAAGTACTTGGATCGTTCATTTGTTCCTGTAATGGAACAACATACATGGTGGTTTTCAACTTATGATAAGGTAAGAGTGGCAAGGTGGCCTTGGGTAGTACATGTAAAGGAGAGAAGTTGCAGTTTTTCTCAAGTTTACAATAGGGAAATAACTTTTGGTACTGAAACTAGTGTCATAATAAAAGGCCCTTAGGAATATGACACTGATTTTAGGGAATAAGAGTGGCTTAGCATATAAGAAAAGATCTACAGGTGGTTGGGTATCATGACTCCATCCTGTAATTCTTAGCAGAGGATAAGTTGGGTTTGAAGCCCATCCCTGCCAAAAAGTTCCCCAAGACCCCTGCCCTAAACACCCATCTCAACCAGTGGCTAAGCCTGGTGGATCATACCGGTTATCTCAGGTATACAGGGAAACGGTCACTGTTCATCCAGGCAGGCCTGGGTATAAAGCATGAGCTTATCAAAAATAGCACAAGTGGCAATTGGAGTGACTCGTCAACACGGCCTAGAAAGTGCAAGTTCCTGCAACTGCCAAAAAAATGACAGGTGCATTAGCAAATTTGCAGATAACTAGTTACTTAGAAATAAACCCAACGAAGCCAGGCAAGCCTGGGAATGGTGAATTTTTGGGAACTCAGCTTCTCAAAATTGAGAAAAATCTTAGAACATAAAACACTAAATTGGGAGTACATAATTGTTACTTGGTAAATTAGACACTGGAGATACCACTTCAGTTCCTTGAAGTGAGAAGTTAACCATTTTGGCCCAGAAAGGAAAACAATGTTGAGCCTGTGGAGGTAGTAAAAAGATGAAGCCTTCAAAAAGTCTCAACAAAAAAACCATCGTTTCCCTTCTAAGGGAATTTAGTAAAAGGTTTGTGTTGATAGTCTATTTCTTGTGACCTTTCCTGAATGCTCAACCTGTGTTCAATGGTTGAAAGAATACTTAGAAACACTGAAAGTAGTAGGTTCCCAGGCTCTGATCTAAAGCCTAATGTTACTGCAAGATAAAGCTTTTGCCAGTTCTCAGTGAAATAAAACGGCACAGTAGATTTCACATAAAAGTGCAGTCTTGTACAATGATTCATTGTGGTTCTTAATAAAAGACTACTTGAGATCAAATATCCATCACCTTACTAGTTTAACTTAGGGCACCTAATTTTATTTTTTGGTGGGACTGGAATTTGAACTCAGGGCTTCAGGCTTGCAAAGCAGGTGCTCTACAGCTCTGACCACACCTTCAGTCCTTGAGCAACTAATTTTTAAAGAATTAATGCCTTTCTAAAAGCAGTAGAGTGCCTGCCTAGCCAGCATGAAACCCTTAGTTCAGACCCCAGTACCATCAAAAGTAAAAGATTACATATGAAGTGCTTAAAATGCTGAAAAACCTTCCCTAGTGCTTACTTTTTTTTTAATAATGAAGTGACTTAATTATCAAGAGTGATTAAATTAGCAATAGTTAAAACAGAATGGTAATACAAACTGAAATGGAACAATATTCAATAGAGTGAAAAATGCTATAGTAAGAAAAATGTGTGTAAAGCACAAAGAAGGGTGGGCTACTGTTCAGGTTGGTTGCTTCAGGAGAATGAGGGTTGCTGAAAGAAGGGCATATTTCAATGCCTTTATAGGTATTTGCCACTCTACCTCACACAGCAGTCAGCATTGTTCACAACAAGCATCCTATGTCTTAAGAACCAACAATGTAATTCTGTCCTGAAGTCAGACTGTTTTTATGTGAGTCTCTGGGTCAGGCCTCTAGAAACAAATCTCATGAGACTTTCTGAACCTCAACACACTTCAAATTACATTCTGCTGTTCCTCAAAGAATCCTGAGGGGAGGGGGACAAGCCCTGGCTCCCTGTTAGGCAGGCCCAGTTAACTCCAAATGGAGATTTAGACAAATGCTGATTTTTGGGAAAGGATCTTGCATTTAGTGCAACAATATTAACAGAAAAATGCTGAGGCTTCATTTTTCATATTTTCTTGATCCCATTGCCATCCTTTTCCTCCTACTTATTAATCATCAAAGGTTGAATGGTAGCCGGGTACTGGTGGCTCACACATGTAATCTTAGCTACTCAGGAGGCAGAGATTAGGAGGATCATGGTTTGAAGCACCTCAGCTCATGAGACCCTATCTCAAAAATACCCAACACAAAACAGCTGGTGGACTGGCTCAAGTGGTAGAGTGCCTGCCTAATAAGCCATGACTTCAAATCCCACCTCCCAAAAAAAAAGAAGGAAGAAAAAGTTGATGGACTTCACTCTCCAGCATGTCCTAGCCAACCCCTATAATTTAGTAACTACTCCGCTGACAGAACCTAGGATTTTTTTCTTTTTCTTTTTGAGACAGATCTCATTTTGTAGCCCAGCCTGGCTCCTTCACAGTGCTAGGAATAACGAAGTGTGTCACCATACTCAGCTGAGAACTTCTTTTATGAAATACCTTTACCTTCAGAAATTTCTGAACTTTCCTAAACTATCCTTAAATCACTGCAACCATTTTGAGAAAGGATGCTGTGTTCACAGAGGAGCTTGGAAAATTCTCTGCTACCTCCCTTAAAGAGATTTTGCCTTGAAAGAAAGAAAAATAAAGAAAAGAAAACAAAACAAAACAAAAAAAAAACCAAGAGATTCTGCCTTGAACTGGTTTAAAATTGTTTCACTCTGTTTTCCACTTTCCAGTTTTCAATCAGTTAACAGCCCTCACACTTTGAGAAACAATGTCCTCCCTGTCTCCTTACCTAATATTGCTGACTGGTTGCACATGGTCTCAGGCCTCCCAAGTAGCTAGGATTACTGGTGTGACCCACCAGCACCTGGTAGAAACACACCAGGTTAAATGGTTTCACCTTGGGAAGCAGAGATCGGGAGGATTGAGGCTCGAGGCCAGCCTGGGCAAATAATTCAGGAGACTCCCCATCTCCAAAATAACCAGAGTAAAATGGACTGAACCTGTGGATCAAGTGGTAGAGTACGTGACCTGCCTAGCTAATCACAAGGCCCTGAGTAATTCAAATCCTAGTACTGCCAAAAAAGAAAAAGAAAAAGTAATATAGGAAATTTGAGAGATACAGAAAAAGAAATTCGCCCTACAATCTAAGTATATTCAGTATTAATTTTCTTTCTTTCAACTTTCTTTCTTTTCTTTTTGGTGATGGAGATTGAACCCATGGCCTCCAACATGCTAGGCAAATGCTCTGTCACTAAACGGTATCCCCAGCCAGTACCTCATTTTTTTTGATCTGCTGCAATATATTTCATAGTATGGAAATACCATATTTTGTCCATTTCTTTACCGATGGATGTTGTTTCTGTTTCTGTTAAAACAATACTGCAATAAATAAGTGTAAGTGTCTTGTCACCAAAATACAAGTATTTCTTTAGGATATACTAGAGGTGGGATTACTATATCAAATATAGCATTTAGCTGGGGGCATGGCTCAAGTGCTAGAGATCCTGCCTAGCAAGCGAGAGGCCCTGAGTTCAAACCCCCAGTATCACCAAAAACAAACAAACAACAAAAAAAAAATCAATATAGCATTGGGCACCAGTGTCTCATGCCTGTAATCCTAGCTACTCAGGAAGCAGAGATCAGGAGGATCATGGTTTGAAGCCAACCAGGGCAAATAGTTTGAGCGACCCTATCTCTAAAAAACCCATCACAAAAATAGGGCTGATAGAGTGGCTCAAGGTGAACGCCTTGAGTTCAAATGCCAGTACCATAAAACACACACACACACATACACACACACACAAAATCTTTACGTTTTCATGAGTTTTACAAAAATTTTTGCCCTTCAAAAAGGATATTATCCAGCTTTTTAAAAAAAGGAAATTCTGACACAGCATGTATACTACAACATGGATGAATTATGGGACTTTTCTTTTTTTGCAATACTGGGGCTTGAACTCTGGGCCTACACCTTGAGCCACTCTGCCAGCCCTTTTTTTGTGAAGGGTTTTTTGAGATAGGGTCTTGTGAACTATTTGCACAGGGTTGTCTTCGAACCGTGAGCCTCCTGATCTCTGCCTCGAGTAGCCAGGATTATAGGCGGGAGCCACCAGCACCTGGCTGAATTATGGGCCTTTTAAGGGAGCTTGCCATGACCCTTAATGCTAGGCAAGCACTCTCCCACTGAGCTAACATTCCCAGCCCTTTTTTACTTCATTTTGAGACATGGTCTTGCTAGGTAGCCCAGGTTGGCCTTCAACTTTCAATCCTCCTGCCTCGGCCTTCTGAGTGCTGCGATTACATTATAATACCTGGCCTAGAAGTACAATTTTTTTTCCTTTTTTTGTAGCACTGGAGTTTGAACTGAGGACCTCATGCTTGCTAGGCAGACACTCTGCCACTTGAACCATTTTTGCTTTTGTTGTTTTTCAAATAGGAGTCTCTTATTTATGCCTAAACCTCAATCTACCTATTTATGCTTCCCAAATAACTGGGATGACAGGCATGGACTGCCACACCCAGTTGATTGGTTGAGATGGGGGGGGTCTCACTAACTTTTTGCCAGCCTGGCTTAGAATCTCTGTCCTC